TTAATTTAATTTAATTTAATTTAATTTAATTTAGTCCATTTTCACTGCATTAAGTTTTGCAGTGGGGAAGGACTAGAAAGGAACATAGGAACCATTCGTGCTAGTCCACCCTCCCACCCATCCCACCCCAGGGGAGGACATCCATCACACAGTAATCTCGTGTGTGGGAAATTAACGTCTCCTACCCCAACCCTGCAGGAGACGGGACCTCCATTTATTCGTCCCTATCCGAGAAGACTAGAATATCTAACCATTTCTTGATGTTATAGAAAGGCAGCAAATTCTTCTCAATTATTTTAAGACCCTGAGTGTTAGTCCGGCCGGGGCTCGAACCCTCGACCTCCCGCACAACAGTCCAGCGCTCTATCCATTGAGCTAACCGGGAGGAAGAAAGACAAGCATGATTCATGAATTTATGACCCCGCATGAGGCATGATTTACCCCCTGAAATGTATGTGACCCATGAATGTTTTTCTTTCATTATTTCATGAAAACCTCAAAATTTTTCTAAATCCAGAGCTCGAAATTAACGGTAACCTGTTAACCAACTAACCAACTAACCCGACATGGTCAGTAAAATTTTCTAACATATTTAAACATTGGTGGACTTTGGGACAAAGAGCACATAGACCTGACTCTCAGAGGAATACTTAGAATACTCAAGTTGTTGAGTCAACTTCAACTCTTTTTAGAGAATTTGCTGTAGATGTACTGTTCTTGACTAATCATGGTAAACGAGAGGGAAATAAAATAGGCGCATAATTGTCAATACTTTTAAGGTCATCATGCAATTTTAGCTACTCTTTAATTTGTCCTAGTTGTTATTATCAAAATGTTCAATATTTGAGATATCGTAACTTGTGAGCTTGGATACCAAACTTTATTATTTGGTTAGTAAAAAAGATGTCTACTAACCCAAAGGGTTAGTGATCCAAAAATTAAATTCGAGCCCTGAAATCCTTGTACACAAGCAGAGAGATTTGAAGTTTTCCCTCTATATAAATAGGTGATCTTGTCTGAAATTTGTACTTGAAATGGGATCATTAGACCCCTCTTTGTTATTTTGTGTGGTGTTTATAAATGGATAGTAGGTAGCAAAATGTGAGGGAATCCTAGGAAAATGCTGAAGGTCATACATTTTATCAAAGAGGGCTAGAGTCATACCAGCATTTCCAGTCATGGATACTGACTTCAAGACCACCGGCCAGTTAGCCCAATGGACAGTGCGCTGGACTGTTGTGCGGGAGGTCGAGGGTTTGAGCCCCGGCTGGACCAACACTCAAGGTCTTAAAATAATTGAGAAGAATTTGCTACCTTTCTATGACATCAAGAAATGGTTAGATATTCTAGTCTTCTCAGAGACATTAATTTCCCACACACGAGATTACTGTGTGATGGATGTCCTCCCCTGGGGTGGGATGGGTGAGAGGATAGCAGGTCCACATCAGCAAATAGCTGCAATAATTCAACCTGCTCAAACAAATAAAGGAGATGAGAGGAGATGAAATATCTTCATTTCTTACAGAGAAGGTAATTAAATTACTGCAGACCTTAACACAGTCACAGTTCTTTTTAGCTCATGCCCTGTATCAGGGGTTTCAAAATGTTTTGAAGTAGGCGGCCAACTCTAGAAAAGTGGATGGCTGTGATAATGCCGAGATTGTTTGTCACAAGCAGACTGTCATGACCAGAGTAGCCGGCGACATACAATCAAGTAGCTGGCGACATACAATCAAGTAGCTGGCGGAACTCTGGTGGTCGCGGGCTTGTTTTGAAACCACTGCTGTATGAAAAGCAATTTGATCTGATAAGCTTATCTACAGCCTGTGATCAGCTGTTCATTGCCTTAAAGGTTAATCCTAAATTGAAAATGTGTTTTTGTTGTAGGTACCCTTTAGCTTTGGGAAACCTTGGTGACCTGCAAGAGATATCACCAACTCCTGGTCGCCCAACAGCTGAAGAAATCCTTAAAGAGGGCATAAAAGTGAACCAAATACTGTATAAAGACCAGCACATCTATCCTTACACTTATCTTGGTGGTTTTTACTACAGACAGAAGCAGTACATGAAAGCTATTGATTGTTGGGTGAAGGCTGCATATGTGGCTGGAAAGTAAGAGAGTACATTTTTTTGTCTAATTTTTTCACCATAATAAATTGATGCTCCTAATATTTCTTTACTTAAGTCTTATTACTATAATTATTAACCCTTTTACTCTTGAGATCTCATTACTAATTCTCCCAACTGTCTGCCATACAACTCTTATGGTGTTAGTTTGGAGAATTTGGTTTTGGATCAAGTAAGAAATAAATCCCCTCCTAGACCATTTCCAAGTTATCGAGGTTTAGTAATCTGTTGCCAAAATTACGGTGCAAGAGCGAGGCTAAGTGGAAAGTTGCTCATGGTTGTAAAGAATAAAGAATGGTGGTAGACAGTGAGAATGAGGGATAATTTTGGGAAATTCAAATTATTTGCAAGAGAGAGGCATTCAGTTAAGTGAAGATGTCTAGGGAAAGAAAAAAGCAGAACTGTTTGATTTATGGAGGAAAGCTGCAGCAGTGAAGCAGATCAAACTAGCACCTTCTGCCAAAGACTGCAAAAAGCTGTTAGAGGTGAAATACAAACTTGGATCACTAACCCCTGATAAATTGGAAATGGTCTATTGATATGTTCTTTTTTCTCGTCCCTTTTCTGCTATTTATTGTATTCATTTGATATTGTAAGAAGAAATTCTGTCTTGGTCACTCAAGCAAGTTCAAGGGTTTTTATAGGCTGGGGTATTACACATGAGCAGGTCAGATTTGGAGACAGTTGTTTTAAGGTCACATGGCAGGCTAAGGACCAATGAAAAACAAGAAGACAATGCAATATATTTTGTTTTAGGTACAACTATTCAAAAGAAGATGAGGAAATATTCAAAGAACTATATGAAATTGCCAATGACTTTATACCAAACATCCTCAAAACCTCAGCATCCTCTGAAGTGAGTGGTGAAAGCAGTGCTGCTAACAAGACCCCCAACCTTGCAGAAGACCCAAGCTTTTTTGCATTTGTTCTTCAGTTTTATGATGGCGTGTGCATGTGGGAAGAAGGAGGTCATACCCCGGTGCTCCATGCTGATTGGGCCAAAAAGCTTGTACAGTCTGTTTCAAGATTTTCTCCCAATTGTAGATCTGCACTGTCACCTGCACAAGGAGGTTCCTTATCATTAGTATCAGTACCAGTGAAAACTGAGTTGGCTGAAGCAAAACCTCCTGTTAGCAATGCCAATTCAACTGTCTCTTCCACTGATAAGGTAGAGCATGGCAACTCTTTGCAAGCTGGTCTAGAAAACTCTAGTAAAGAAAAACTTGTACTCAATCTGAAAAGTGCAAAAATGAGAGGAATGACAGAATTGCTGACAACTAGTGGCAAAATTAACACTAGTGCAATAAAGCTGCAACTAACAGCCCAGTCACAAGTGAGTGTGCCAAAGAGTAGAAGGCGCACCTCTTTTAAAACAGACGATTATGTGTATGACTTTGGGGAAGAGATAGAAAATGAAGAGGAAAATGACAACGAAGAAACAAAGAGGCCAAGAAAAGTGAGAAAAACTGACAGGGACTTTATGGCATAGTGGTTCATGGTATTGTACTCGTTCAGTTTATTTAATGTTGCACATGGTAATGTTAGATGATTTTTATATAAATTAATGGAATAATAGGTTCAGATTTACATAGCTATACATATATTTTCTTTTCAACGAAAGAATTGGGTAGAAAGGTGTTGAAAAATTGGGGGTTTTTGAAGGGTTTCTGTTTCTTAATGAAAGAGTGAATACCAGGGTTGGTATCATATGCAGTAAGATAGTATTTAATGCAGTCACCAGCATTTAAGATGTCATTTATTTTTAATTTTTTTTTTTTTTTTAAAATGTTAGTTTCACTTATGGCTAGCCTCGTCACTGTATTTACCCTTCACGCCCTAACATCAGTCTGTAAATTCTCCATACTGTTCTCTATACATTTCTTAAGGTGCTGACAAGGAGAATTTGTTTAACAATCAAGAGTTTATTTAGTTGATGATCATTTCCTTTATTCTTGTGACCTTAATTTGTGATTCAGGGGGTGATATTGTAAGGAAAAATTAGATGTTAGTCACACTTCAGAGTCAAAGGTTTAATTGTGTGTATTCAGTAGACATTACAAAGAAAAAAACATGGTTTTCAGTCATTAAAACTTCTCCATTCAAATCTGCCTTTTCTATATTGGGTAATTAAGTTACTATATTTAGGCTTATCTTTGATATGAAAGAGTGTGATCCATATATTATTACGTCAGACTTATGTTCTGCATTTCTTCGACTCCAGGGATTTCATGTGCATGTACATAGATGTTTTAGAGAGTCAAGGAACAAGGAACTTTAGTTTTATTTTTTTAAGTCAACCCCATCAAAAAAGAAATAAGGTTTGTAGTATGAAGGAGAAATCTGGACTAGTCGAGTTAGGTAAACACAAGGGTTTACTCAAGTACTTATAATTTAATTAATAATCAGCTACAGATCGGAAAGGTGTCTCATCTTAATTAGTATAATTTCAGAGCTGAGCAAAGAGTTTCCAGCAATCTGATTGGTCGAGTGGTTCCTTATATTTAACCCCCGCCCAGCTAGCCCAATGGATAGTGCGCTTGACTGTTGTGCGGAAGGTTGAGGGTTCGAGCCCCGGCCGGACCAACACTCAAGGTCTTAAAATAATTGAGAAGAATTTGCTACCTTTCTATAACATCAAGAAATGGTTAGATATTCTAGTCTTCTCGAATAGGTACGAATAAATGGAGGTCCTGTCTCCTGCAGGGTTGGGGTAGGAGATGTTAATTTCCCACACACGAGATCATTGTGTGATGGATGTCCTCCCCTGGGGTGGGATAGGTGGGTTTAAGGGGTTAGGTGTCAATTGGGACGAAAGTTCTGTTCCTTTATCCTGCCATTCCCGTGGTGAACAAATTAAATTCCTTAAATTCCTTATATGACACTATATAAACTGCTCCACGCCGTTTATATAAAATGTTAAAATAAAATGTTAATAAATCTTACTAAAATGTTATGATTTTAGAAATTTCTCTGTCGTTCAGCTCTGAAATTATACTTAAACAATTATTAGCCTCAGGTTCAGTGAATGTTGTCAAATAATCCCCTCGACTTCATCTCGGGGATTATTCGACAATATTCACCTCGCCTTCGAGATGGGGGAGGGAGATGATTTCCCATGTTTGACCTCACAGACAAATACAGCATGCCTATGCCAAGCATTTAATGTAAACAAGTGGACCTAAATTTGAATCGTGAGGTACCTAAGATCAAGGGAGTAATTTTTTAATTCAGATGCCAAGCTCTATCAATTCGGCAGTTAACTTTAGTTTGTGGTTGGATGTGGTGTAGAGCTGGTTTTGTTCATTAGGTTTAGTGCATGAGGAGTTTACCCTCGGAACTTTAATATTGCTACACCATGTCCTTGAGGCATTTTCAACATTCAGAATCGTTTTCAGCAATTTTCTCATTATTTATCTCAACACTTATGATAATATGGTAAATGTATTTTAACATAGTTAGTAGAGGGGACAGGGTCCCCTCTACTAACTATGATTTTAATTATCTACCTCAGAAGTTTATATTTCTTGACAGACTACACCGATCAAATTTATTTTAATTTACCACGAAATTTTAATTTTACAGTGTAACTGGTTTTTAAATAAATTACCTTGGACAGTCTTGAGGCATCTTTGTGCTGTGTATCTTGTCAGTTCACTCACAGCTGTTGACCGCAATCACTTAACTTCATCGTCGCCCTCAAATAATAACTCTGGACTAAAAAAAAGAGGTTATCACGGAAAGTCGCCCTCGAACAAACTCGGTCAACGCAGCGTTTTCGAGGATATGCCAGTTCAACATAATACTAACAAATGATTTACCTTAATTGTTGTCAGAGCATTACGAGAAATGATTCTAAGAAAATAGACGGGTCCCTCGGATAAACACCACATATTTAAATGTCTTGGCGTTGAGTCGAGCAATTACCCACCCCACCCCTGAAGGAGCGCAATTCTCGTCTTACGCGTAGTTTAGCCGTTGTTAATGAATTGAAGTAAAATCTGATATAAATGATTTTTTTTTATTAAAGGATTCATCTTAATGTTTACTTTTTGTCGTTAAAACACCTTGAGGTGACGTACTTCGAAAAATTATTTAATGTTAATGTTCTTCCCGAGCTACCCCTCCCTGACGGGCATAATTGTCAGCCTCGTTATGAGTTCTCGTAATGCAAACCAAGGAGTCAAAAAATCGACATGGTGGAAATCTAAGCACAGTTTTGGAATAACTTTGTCTCCGATTTCGATTGGACTAACCTTCTGACCCGACAAAAAGTGATGTGAAAACCTAAGGAACGTCGGTGGAACGGAATATTAGCCGTGGCAATCATTCTTGGAACCACAGCACCATTCAGAAGTCAACGACAATTAGTTTGACGCCATTTTGTAAACATTTATTTCAACCAGAGGGGACGTAATTGACAAGTAAAACATGACGAATCTCGAAGGAAACAATCGCAAATGGACACAAGACGAAATCATAAACAATACAAAAAACGTTGTTCGTGGATTAGAGACCTTGAAAAATGAACATTCAGGAATCTTGAGCAACCTTAGTTTGAATCGTGATGGTTCATCAGATTTGGATAAGGAGAAGGGGTCTATCGTCCAAGAATCAGTCGAGAAGATAGAGTTAGGATTGGGAGAAGCGCAGGTGTGTATTTTTGGTCTCTTTCCCATTGGATTAGACATAGCTAAAGAAACGACGTAGTTTCTCAGGTGAATTCCCAGTTCTGTTACGAAGTACATGATTCGAATTCCCCATAGCTTTGAAAAGTGTATACCAAAGAGATAGATTCCGACACAAATAGTGCGATATAATCGCAGGGGCTCCTAAGATCGACTTGTTTATTCAGGGGCAAAGATCAACTTGGAAAAGAACAATTGTATGTTTTTAAACCCCGAAACGTTCGCTTGCTACAAAGAGCTTCTTAGTTGAGTTATTCTCGTCTCGTCACGAACGAAGCTGACTCAGGTATTCGCCGACAGTTTTATTTGGCCCTTATTCCAACCTCAGTTCTTAATCTTACATCTCATATTCTCAGTTAAAACTAGAAATAATCGGAAGGCCTTCTGCTTATTTCAAAGGCTATACTGTAATCATTTTTGTCGCTTTTAGTCCTTAAAAACCAGCTGTATTGATAAATTTAAAATGTCTGAAAATATTCATTTTTCATTATGTTAATTTTATATGTTTTGATATGGCTACTGCCAATATACTAAAAGGAATTGTCGTGACGGTCATATATGATATTTTGCAATTCGGCAGTTTCTTACAATTCCTTAATTTTTCCCTAGAAATTATTTGTTTATCTGCCAAATGAAATTTGCCCCAATTAAGAATTTCAAACAATGGTAGCCTCACCAGTCCTATATTTTAAAGTGTTTGGTTTAAATAATTTAAGAGTTAATTTGAGTTTCAATTACTTGTTTTGAATGATGGCTGTCCGTAGAAAAACAAAGATAAAGATTTCTCTTATTTGATAACAAATGAAAGGCTCTCATTCTAACCAAATAAGGTTCAAACTAAACTTTTCTTGAGATAGTTCTTTGATACAGATAAGTGGTTATTTTTAGGTGATAAATAAGTGTTCTGTTTGTTAAGTTTTTATCCAGAATCTTTGTGTTAAAAGTGGCACTCTGTTTGAACATCTTGTCTGTTCTCTGTGAAGACTAGATGCAGGTTTCATTGTTCCTTTTTACTCAAAAATTTAAAATCAGATTTACTCTTCTGTTAGATCGAAGATAACATTTTGCTTTTTGTTTTAAACTAAATTATGATTTATATTTGCCATTTACATGTGTTTGAAACACTTTAGGGCTCACTTGAATGAAAGAGTTCATATCATAAAGTTTTGTTGTATACAAAACTTCAAACTATTTAGATCAGTGACCATACTAATATGAACTCTCCTTGAGTATTCCAAAAATTCTTATGGTCAGGGTTAGCTAGGTCCAATATTTCAGTTTTAAAAAGCAATTCAGAATGAAACGATGTCTTTGTGGATAAAATTGAATGGATCACAATTGAAAAGCATTTTTTCGTAATGTCTTCTGGTTACAAGAATTAATTTTTATTCAAGCGTGGTCATATTTTGGTGATCATTAGTAATGGTCTGACTTCCTAGAATTCAGAAAATGTGCTAATGAATGATTTTATTCAGCTGATGACTCTTTTGATCAGGAAGTCCAACAGTAGACATTCCTTGACAAATGTATCTTTCAAATTTGTCCCTACACGTAGAAAGTAAAAGCTTTGTATTAATAAGTGGATGTGTTTTATGAAATTTTACTTTATAAGTAATGTATTCTCAAAATACCTGTATGACTGATTCACGATTAGAGAGATTTTCCTACCAACTTAACATGCAAGACTGAACAGAAGAGATTTAAAGTTTACAAAAAGGGGCAGTTTTCTTTCTTCATTAAAAAAAAAACGATGTTGTGACAATTGTGATTTTTCTAAGCCATATATAAGTCTAGAGGAATTCAGAGGTGTTTCCTTTAGAAATATTAAAACTACTATGTATCCAGGTTGCATTTAGGTAGTATTGGAATTATTTGTTTTACTATACTATCAACTTTTAAATTATTATATACAGTGTAGACATGTGGTAAGTCTTAACTTAGCTATAAATAGTTATAATTAATTCATGAATTCCCATTCTCTTTGGATTCTAAGAATCAAATGCATGACCTGCATTGGACTTCCTGCAAATGATTCTTATTTCTGAACGGGCTCCACTTAAACAGACATTTAAGTAGGTGTACTGCCATACTTTTAAATCACATCTAAGTCTTACATGTCACATTAATAAGTCTCAATTAGATTTCTAGCAGATGTTTGTGGTGTCAATGATTTATTCCAAGTTATTTGAATATTTCCCGGCTAGGTAATGATGGCACTTTGTAGCCACCTGAGCACTGTTGAAGCTGAAAAACAGAAACTTAAAGCACAAGTGCGAAGACTTTGTCAAGAGAATGCCTGGCTTAGAGAAGAACTGTCTGTCACTCAACAGAAACTGCAAGAAAGTGAACAGAAAGTTGCTCAGTTGGAAGAAGAAAAGAAACACCTAGAATTTATGAACTCTCTCAAAAAATATGATGAGGTAAGCATCTTTCAGTTCTTCCTTCTTGTACATTAATTTACATGGAAAGCTGCTTTTGCATATGAATTGCCCTCTCTAGTTAGGGTTTGAATTTTAGAGTTACCTCTCATTTATTTTATTGTTTTTGTTTTTCATGTGTATTGCCCTTCATGGAATTATTTTGACTCTCCTAGGATAAGCATGTAAGTGTTAAAATAGCTATTCAAGAAGTTCCCTGTTTCTTCATTTAATCACATATGCACTTACTTTTACAGTTTATTGGAGTGTTTCATATTAACTGCGTCTGTTCTAATCAAACACATGTGCGAAACGACTATGGTACATTTCAGTATGCATAAAATGCAGTCTAAGAAACAACAGCTCAACTTTTAGAATCCTGTAGACCAGTTTTAGAACCTTTCCTGAGTTTTCTCGAACACTTCCTCTTCCATGAGTGACCAAGACAGAATTTCTCCTTACAATATCAATGTAGTGCTGAGCAGACAACTGATGAGAATAAAGAAAAACATCAATTTAGGGATTATTAGTTGATCCAAAATCAAATTCTCCCAACTAATATCATGAAAAATTGTGTAGAAGACAGTAAGGAGAATTGCTAATGAGATCCTGGAAGTTAAAGGGCAAAGAGCAGTGCAAAAATATTTCTTTTGAATGTTATGTAGTTAACTTACTTTTTCGCATAATATCTGACTTTTGCAAGGGGTCCTTATCATTGTTGATTGCAGCGATATCAATATACAGTGTATTACAGGGCTCATAAGTGGTTGGGCGTGTGTACTTGCCAGAATTATAAATGGGTGTTGATGAACCTTGTCTCCTATTCTCTTAAGTCCAAAAAAAAGCTGTGGTAAAAATGATGAGGCGCTGTTATTTTTTAGTATAACCTCCGAGCTGAGCAAAGAGTTTCCAGCAATCTGATTGGTCGAGCCGTTCCTTATATGACGCTATATAAAC